CCACAAGGCGGCTCTGGTACACATAACGATAACACACACAACGATAACGGCTGCGTTCAGCTCATCAGTAGGATGATCACTGTCTCTTCTAAGCTGGGCTCCAAGGTGTTGATTCCCGCACAGAAGACAAGTACTGGCTTTTGGAGAGTTAGGAGGATCCTGTCTTTAATTCACAGCTGATAACACTTACCTGGGAGAGTCACACAGGATATTAATAGAGGGATAGGAGAAAGACACCACATCTTATTCGTGGATGATCCCAAGTCCCACTTAAATGTTATTAACAGAACTGCACTTCATAGACACTTTAGCCCAAACTCTCTGGAAGGCAGACTCTTGTATAAACACGAGGAAAAAAACAAACAAACAAAAAAAACAACACTTACTTGAAAATCTGACTGCAGCTGTTTGACTGGTGACAGCCCCTAGGGAGCTGTGGGACACACAGGAGTAATTACCCTCAGCACCGGCCCTCTCAGGATATTTGCTGTCCTTTGCCACAGCCTGGGATGAGATGAAGAGCGACCCATTCGGAAGCACATGCAGATGTTCCTGCTCCACTAACGGAAACCCATTCTTCTTCCACGTGATATTGATCACCTGTTCAACAGGGGCCACATTACAGTCCAAAACCACAACTTGGTTCGGCTCCAATATCACCTTCGCAGGACCAGCACTACAGCTCAGCTCCAGAGAAACCCCTTCCAAGAGCTTCCCTGTAAAAAAAAAAAAAAAAAAAAAAAAGATAGTTGTTTCTTTGGGGGTTGCTTTGCTTGGTTAACCACATCCCCAGTTTTGCACAGCAAAGGAAGCACAGTCCTCCATGAGTGTGGTTGGGGATTACAGACAAAATTCAGCCCTGCTAGATGACCAGCACCTCCCATGACAGGAAAGACATCAAAAGAATGTCTACAAATGTGACCTGTTATCTCCAAGTGTTTTATGCAGTACAGCTGAATCCAGAATGAATGCAAGCAGGGCTCTCCCTCTGGAAAAGAAAGGATATTCCACCTGCAAACCAACAGACGAAGAGACAGTTGCATCATGCCTTACCCAGAACATGCCCTAAGGCAGCTTGCCTCCTGCAAGCAGAGGCTAGACCGGGGACCAGCAGCGAGTTAAGCTGAACAGGTCTCAGTCTGGCCACTTTCCAAACCCATGTACTCATAGGAGAGCTCCACCTCTGAAACAAGGCTCAGCATTTACTAAAGGAATATTGCCATTAATAAAATGCATTTGCTGTTAGAGTTCTCCAGAGACACTAAGTCAATGTTAGCTGGCAGCGCTGCTTCCACACACCAGCAATTTCAATCTCTGCTGTGTTCAAACCATCACCATCCACTCTTTTTATGGCTCCGCTCCAAATTATTTTGTCACTGCTCCAATCAAAAATGTTTCCTGCCTCTATAACAAGTTTATCAACACTGGATATGAACCACATGGCTCCCTGCCCGTCTCCTATCACAGAAAGCTACAGATTAATTTTATAGGAATTCAAACACCCTATTAAACCTGCTACTACCTACTGCTGATAAAAGGGCTGCATTTTAAAAGAGCGTGTGTTAAGCATGCAATTAGGGGCAATGACACGCAAAATTACACATGCGGGGAGATGGAATTATTTCAAGGCGTGTGCTGGGAACTACAGGTGCCCCTGAAAGGAAGGGCCCAGCCCTGCCCATGCGCATGGCTAATTCAGTACCTGTCCAAGCCTGTGGGGCAGCGAGCTTGCCAGATTTGCAGCAAGTGCTGCTATAAGCATCTGTGTTTGCACCAGCCCACTGAAACGCAACCCCCAGTCAGACCACTGAGAACTTGACACTGGCATGCTATGTCCCTTCAGTGATGAGCAGGCTCTGCACAAATCCTGCCTGTCCCTGCCTGCCTGTTTATTGCCATCACTGTGGGACAGAACAGACCCTGCCCCAAGCACCCCCTAACTTCCCTGGGATGTCTACATTAGGAGGCCAAGGGCTCACAGGGTTCTCCCCTGAGATAGCGATCCCCCATGGTGGTTTTCTGATACTTTCCACTGAGGTCAGAGGAAACCTACAGACACAGCAGCTGAGACTTGGGCAGCTCAGTTCACTTTCAAATGACAGATGGGATGAACCTGGGTTCTTGCTCCCCTCAATGCCTTTGATGAGCTCTGGGCAACTCATTGCACAAGAACAGAGACAAGGCATCTGCTCTCATCCTGGTGAAGACCCCATTCCAGATCCCCTCAGTCATCAGCACCGAGAACTGCAGAGAGTGTCCTGGGGCGCTCTGCACACGCAAACATGCCAACTGCAGAGAGCCAGCGCAGGTACTATAACACATATCTGTGCTTGCAAGGGGCCATTCCCCTAATCCTCTACGTCAAACCTTGGAGGATGTAGAGAGGCACATTTTACACATGGCTGCACAGAGCACACAGTGTTGCACAGCCAGCACAATACCCACACGCTGTATTCCCCTGCAAAAGGGCAGCCCCCACCAACATGGAGCGGCCTGTGAGCCCCTGGATTTGTAGTTTACTCGCACGGATGCTTCTATTGTGCTGCTAACTCACGCTCTGCAAGAAGGAGGTGCAGCAGGGAACGGCAGACACCATCAAGCTCAGAGCTGACTATTCCTACCATGCGGGGGGCTGCATTCTGAACACACTGAAGCGTAATATCTGGATTTGCCAGCTAGCACAGCCCAGGCAAGCTTATCTCTGATTCGGCCACCTCAGGCAGCACAGGTATCGCTCAGGAGCGAGATGAGGAATGCCACTTTGTAGGGACTGTTACCAAACGCCCTGCTCTAGGGGCAGTTTGACCCACTCTCCATTGCTTCTTCGGAAGACTGGTCCTTTGAGGACCACAGCAAGCTACAAAACTCACTTAACGGGCTCCACAGGATACTAGAAGTAGAGGGAACATAAGGCTGAAAGGCTGCACCAAACGCTCAGGAAGGACAATGCCACTGGAAACCTTCCATCAAAGACACCTGGTACAAAAAGTTGTATGAAATAGGAAATTAAGCACATAGCAAGTTATCAGCAAATGTATGTGCAGAAGACATAGCCAAACCCAAGAACGGGTTAGTAGTTCAAGGTTGATAAAACCTTAGCTGAACTAAGGACAGGAGGCATACCCTGAACAACAAAACCCTTGTGAGAAAACCCATCCATGGAGAAGCAGCATGGAAAAACAGCATCTCAGACACTTTGCCAAAGAGCTATTCCAATAATAGCTGCTCTGGGCAGCATGTTACACCAGGCTTAGCCTGTACTTATACAATATCTCCATGGAGGGAGGGCCACCAAGGGAAAGGTTGAGGCGTGTGGTTTAGAGCTGCTTCTCTTCGCCTACTCTGATCGTCCTTCATTGAAGACCTCGCCTTAATGCAGCAGGCCTGGCCGGATGCTGCCGGTGGAGCCCCACAGCTGGCTTTGCACATCTGGCACCACACAGCCAGGCGTCCCACCCGCCCTTGGCCACCCCGTACCTGCACTGTCCTCCCTGCTCCACTCTCTTCGTGGGCATACGCTCTGCGCCAGGCACTCCTGCTCATCACTCTGGGCAACAGCCCATATCTCTGTCCTATTTTTCATTTCCTTCAGACAGTAATTTAATGATGTTTTGCTGAAAATATTCCTCTTCAAAAGGTGAAACGAGAAGGGATAGCAGGCTGGCTCAGGCAGCCGGGAACAGAGCAGAGATCTGCAGCACTGCTTCCAGTGCCAGCACAGGCTGGTAAGAAGCAATTATCGACCTCTCCAACTCCAGTCCTCTAAAAATCAGCTCCACAGACTTGCAGTGGAATCAGAATAGACAGCTCCTTACTTTACAGAACAACAAAAGAAATTTGGTTTTGGGGTTTTTTTTTTTTGGTTTGGGGGGTTTTTTAGGTTTTTTAAAACATGAAGATGTCTCCACACCCCTAAGTATCTCTGAACTCCTTTCCCCAAAGCCAAAACCTACTTGGAATCCAAGCTTCTAGTCGTTATGTTGGAAAAAAGGGCCAATTACAAAACTCAGTGCCAGATCACGGAGTTCACCCTCAGCCTAGCCTGACAGCCTGGTTCGAGTCAGTCTCTCCTATACCAAGAGAGGAGAAACAACCATTTGAGGGAAACGCATTTGACATCAGACTCTCGCAGGCAACTGTTCTGCCACAGCCTGGGAACATGCTTCTTAAGGTGACACGGATCAAAGGCTCTTCACCTCCAAAGTCTGTTCCTATCATCAATACCTGGTGCACTCACTGAGCTGATAATGACAATAAAATCTCACTGGCTATTAACAGGAAGAAGCTGTCTTCTTTTATGCCTTCATGCCAATAAACATATACCTGCACATCTTTGAAGTGCAAGTCACTCCATTCGTGCAAGTATGTTCCTACCATATTATCCACCCAGAAAGAGCAAAAAGCATTTAGAAGCAACCAGCCTCCGCAGTACCAACGTTTCTATTTGCAAACATCTGCATTGCCAAGCTGTACAGTATCCATGCGATGGTGAGAGCTACATGACCGTACTCAAACCACTGCCCCTATATTCCAAGAGCAAATATTCCAAAAATATTTCTAGACCAAGAAGCCATGTAAAAACCCAAAGGTACTCACAACCCTCAGGGTGGCAGACACGCTCAAACTGAGCACTTGGCAGAAGATCATGACAAAGGTTAGTTTGGAAAAGACCGCCTTGGCCAGAAACATGAAACAACCCATCACTGCCTGTCACTTAACATAGCCCTGGGAGGCTTCCAGCTGGGAAGCCCAGCTGACACCAGACTGCTCTGGGGAGCGCAGACCTGCCCCAAATCATCCAGTCCTCTGGCCCCAAAATACTGCAAGCTCTTGGGGACAGGCCCTTTGCACGTACAGAGATTGAAACAGCAGGGCCCAGGACCCGGACTCGGCATTGCAAAAAAACCCACTATGTCTCTAGCCCCGAGATGTTCAAAGGACTGTATATACACTCCCTGATTAAGGGAGAAATACCTTCCAGGCTCTGGCAACGTAGGAGGAGGTCTGGTTCAAAACACCCCACTAAATTAGCAAGCCTGACAATGAGATAAAAGCCCTTTCAAGGGAAAGGATCAGAACAGAGTAAAATTACTCCAAGTGAGATCAAAGACAAATAACATCAGGAATGTTAAGTGCTTACAGAAGCTGCTATTTCCAGCCTCCATTCTTCATCATACAGTGACAGAAATGGATACAACCCCGTTTAAACACACAGCCACGCACAAATGCGGCCTCCTGCTCACCTTGACCCTCTTACCTGCTGGAAGTAACGCTCTAACGAACGCAACAAAAACCACCCACAACAGTGGCCTGCCTCACACCACAAATACAGCTATTCTAATGGACATCAGCAATAACACGGAGGCAGACTCAGAAGTCAGAGGCCACGAAGTCCTTGACGGATCAGTTCAAGGCAGATGTTTCAGCTACGGAACCTGTACTTTGGAGTTGGAGAACTTCTTCCCTTTGGCTTCTCCCTGATATAACTTCAAATGTGAAAGCCTAGCAGAACCAGAGACATTCAGCTCACAGATTTCTCAGTTTGGGCCAGGAAACCCTGTTTTCCTCTATGGAGAGCAACCTCACACGGGACACTCAAAGAAGGCTTTTAGATCAGAGCACGCAAATCCACCTATCACCTGCCCAGAAATTACTTAACAGCAACTAAGAACAACTATTTAGAAGACAAAACAATGAGGGGGGAAAAAAGGGGGGGGGGAAAAACAAAAAGCACAGCGTGGGTGTGTGGGGAGAGCAACAGAGCGTTCTGCGCCTGTTCAGTCACAGGTAAGCAGAGTTCATATGAAATTCTATTAAGTCCAGCAAATCACGGAGCTATTCCACGGCATACAGTAGTGGTTTGAGGACTATAAATGTATGTGCAAATCCTTACATTATATATAGATATATACAGTGTATATGTGCATACACACAGAGCGTTCCAGGGGAACGCAAATGTACCGAAGTGCAGAGCATGCCTTGAAGCGGAGTGTTTCTGAGGCTGCAAGTTAAAAGCGTTTTGCTTCCATGACAATTATATTCTCTGAACCAGGCTCTGCAGGGGTGTTTTAACCTCTCCTGTCTTGCTAACACTAAGGCTGCATCAGGCACAAAAACAGTACAGGACTGGGGGGACAACGACATTCTTTTTACCATCTGTTTCATCTCTTCCTCACTCCCATTAGCCATCCATGCACCTCTGGTGTTCAAGCCCAGTGAAGTATATGGAAAAGTCTCCTGTTGACTGGCACAAAAAAAAGGGCCTGTAGGATGAACATAACTTGTAACATCTTCAAGGCCAAAAACTGTCCTCCGCACTCCATGTGAGCACAGCCCCTGCCAGCAATAGGCTTGATCCCAGATTCAAACAAGAATAAGCGACAGAGGGCATCTAAAAGCCACGTTAAACCAGTCCACGTCTCCCTTTCTGAAATGCACATCTTAACATACAGCCAAAAACCTCTCCCCTAGGATCTCTCCTCCTTTGACATTAAATGGAGGCAGGAATAGCCCAGCTTACCACTGAGTGCAGAGGAAAGAGAGTCAGTTCTCTTGCTTTCATGATTACCAAACTATAAACCACCAGGTGAAGCGTGAGCTAGCAACACAGCAAGGGTTGACAGATTCCCGACATGCAATTGCTTGGTCAGAGGCAAGACCCTCAGAGCACTGCTTTCACCTCCAAGATACACAACACTACCAGCCCACAAATCTGATGGGAGCTCGCACTCCATGGCTGAGCACAGCATGGAAAACCCTGTCTCCTGGTGTATAGATCCTTTCCCTTCCTTGGGATTTAACCATTTAAAAGGAGGAGGATAGACCTAGACAAGCAACATACTTGTTCTGGTGAAATTTTGGCTACCAGAAGTAAACATGTCCTTGATCTCTGTTACACAGCATGAGCAAATAAAAGGTTACTGTTCAACAGGAGACAAATGGCTTTGTTCAGAGAAGGAAGATTTCTGTTTTAGTAATTATTTTAAAAAACAAAACACACAGACAAAAACCAAACAGGGCATATTTCTGTATAAGCCATTGGTGTATATCTCTTGGCCCGCTATTTGTGTACAGCATCGAGCGCTGCTGGAATCACCTGATCCACAGCTGGGCTCACAAGTCCCTGGACAAGGCCTATAATTAAACTAACTACCTGCTCCTGAACAGCACAGAACCACATGGAAACACAGCCCTGTCATGCTGGTTCAGATAACCAGGATATGACCCAGCTCCAATGAACTACTGCCATAAACCCACCAGAGAAACCCATCCCAGTTATGCAGCATAGCCCAGGCTGTCTTCTGACCGGTCTGAGAACAGCTCAAACAGCTCTCCATCGGGGTCACCACCTTGTCTTCATTCATACAAGTCATCACCCACACTGACCCAAAGACAGACAGAAAGGCAGTGCTTTTAGAGATGTACTATCTTCTGTGAGACAAACTGATAGAGCTGGAAGAAGCAGAAGAGCTTTAGGCACATGCAAGGCCATCTTCAGGTCTGACCCAAGCAGAGCAGACATCAAGCAAAGCACAGGCAGCAACAGCTCTGGGTATAACCAGGCTGCACCCCTCCGTGTTCAGTTCGACGTGTCATTGCTGTGTCAAAGCCAGTGACAGCCTTAGCGCTCCAAAGCCTGCCCACTTTTTCTAACTATATCTGTTTATCTAGTAAAAGATATCACACCCCCCTATACGTTTGCCTCACCTACTCTTAAGAGCACCATAACTGAATATATCCTGCACCAAAAGATGGAAGGGCACTCACAGAGGGCTAGGGAAGACACAAGGCTGCCCAGCCTCCAGCTAGGTGGCAAAACACTGACAGCAGTATGTACCAACACTAACTTTGCACAGAGGCAAAAACCCTACAGCGCCCGCCCATGGCACCCTCCAGCCCCACGGCTATAGCACATGGAGGAGAACTGCCAGCTAGGAGTTGCTCCCTAGACCAAGAAAGATGGTCCCTTTTCCCAGGGCTCTGTGCAAGTGACAACCCTCAGAGTGCTAGTACCTACAGAGCCTGACACGTCACCTCAGGACTGCCAGACCACCCTTCCTACCTTCTAGCCCCACATGACGTGCTGCCACGACAGCCCCCACAGCTCCATCCAAAGATCCACCAACAAGCAGGGCTGGGTGGGAGCGTGCAAGATGCGTTCCCTGTCCCAAGGCATCATCACCCCTCTCTCACCTACTCCAGCCCATTCCTACAAACATTCATGCTGGCAATTACAAGGTTGAGACCTTCACTTCAAGGTAGGGGAGGCCCCTCTTTAGCACAGCAGAATGAGGCTGCAGGACCAACTTAAGGCCAGGGTCCAGCCCAAAGCAGTTAAACCACAGCCCACTGACAGCTTCCAGTGCCTTTACGCAAAAACTCACAAACACTTCCAGCCCAAAACAAACAAACTTGCACGGAGCCAAACAGGACTCGTTACAGCACAGGCCTTGGGAGATTAATACTTCACAGAGAGCAAAGTACAAGGGTTTCTAATCTGACACACTTCCAGAGCTGACATCACTTCTAGTTCTTGGCAGCCAGAGGTTTTCCTGGGGAGCCGCTGTTGCGCTGCAGGTCCCACAGCCTGGAGCCCAGCCAGCGCGTTTCCTATTCCACACACATCTGGCACTTTGGAACTGGCTTGTGCACCTTGCAGAGCTCGAGCCAAAGAAAACCTTCCAGGGAGCGAGGGAAGGCGCCCAGACAACGCAAGCAAAGCGCTCGGGCGTCGTGTGTGTTCTGCGGGATATCACGCGCTAAGAGAAAAGAGCTTCTCTCCTCTCCACATCCTGCAGGAGGTGGCAGGAATTCAAACTGCAGTTAAGCCTCTGCACTGTTGCTCCTCTTAATTTATGTATTTATTTTGGATGCTGAACTCGCAGAACTCAACAGCACAATTAATCTCATTTAATCAGGAGAACAGCGCTGAAGAAAAAGTGGAGTTACCACTTCCAGAGGGTTTTCCCCAGCTATCAGTGAGCCAACTACTGTGCCATTGTTCTGCTGAAATGTAACCTTCTCTGACGCTCTTCATATGATCTTAGCACCGTTCTCTGATGCTCTTAATAAGCTCTTAGCACCTTAGAAAATCTTCAAGCTCCTATTGTCTAATTCAAAGAGCCATTATACTTCAGTGTGTCCCCATTAAAGCAACACAAAGCACTCTTCTCAGAAACCATATGCACTCACAATTAAAAGTCAACAGCTTGGTCTCAACCCATTTTTAGGGCAACTGCACCTGGCAAATGGTGACCCAGAAAGCAATCTGGATGGCGATCTCTAAGTCTGCATTTGGGGTGCTCAGCAACATCAGCACTGAGAGCAGGACTGGATGAGCTCTGGGGAAGGAGGCCCTGGTCCTCAGAGGTATTCAAGCACCCAACTCCCATGATCTCCATGGAATGGGAGGCTCAAAGAGGAGCTCTGCACCTAAACAGCCTTGGGCACTAGGCCTTCAGCCTCCCTACGGCACAGCAAAACAGGGCTTTTCCCAGGGAACGCTCTGTAGCTCAGCTGCAGTGAGGCCTGGGAGATGGAAGGGTCAAGATCCTTACACTCACTTCCCAGTTCCAGTAACATCTGGTGACAAGTACTTTACAGCTTGTAATGGCAACGCAAGCAAGCTAGAAATAAGGAAGTAACTCCTTCATTTCAACCCTTCTGGAACAGAAGGTTCCTAAAACTGTCTACAGGGCTGCTTGAAAGACCGTTTCACTAAAACTTGATATCCAGATGCAGCAGAGCTATTCCAGCACTCAGCAGTTGTTTGCTGGTGGGAAGCAGGCCTTATTCTAATCCTGCACATAGGCAGGCTAGATGGTTTATTTAATAGTGCACCATCTCCCACTGCTGCAGGAATATTTATCCAGTCAGCAGCAAGGGACTCTCAGATCATCCGCTGTCACTAAGCGGATCCCAGCATTTGATGAGCAGCTGGGTGCCAGAACGGCGCTGCGTGCAGCAAGAGCACAGCACAGACTGCACGCAGACCGTCACACTCTCCTCCTGGTCCCGGCAGCAAGGAGCAGGGCGCGATGCAGCACCCGGGAGCAATCTGTCCCAGCCCCGCAAGGACCCAGCTGCAGCGTGGTGTATCACACACACTCCCCAGCTTCAGAGGCCTCTTTACATCCAGGAACACATCTGGGCCCAGAATTAGCACCAGCAGGGCAAGCTCAGCTCCGTCTACACACAAGCCAGGGGAAATGCCCAGGAGCCAGCTGTTAAGGACAGAATCGGAGTTCAGCCATGTCATGACCTTGGCTGGTCGCAACAGCTACAGCAAGACGACAGGCCTGGAAGTGCATTTTAGACAGTGATACTACTCGGGCATGTGCTCTCAGGATGACAAGTATCGCCCTAAAGCTTTAGGAGGGTCAGGGTCTGGATGCTTTTCTGAGCAGAGTGCCAAATGGGAGCAAACATACTTGAGCCCTGCTAACTGCATTTGTCCATGCAGGTGATCTGTGCATCTATGGAAAGATGGAAGGAGAGACTAGTTACTCCTAAAAGACCAGTGGAGGGAGTATGCTGCCAGCACAAAAAAAACTCTTGCTATGGTTCTACTTCACTTAATTATAAAGAACTATGCATGTAATAATTCCTTGCAAAGCTTTGTGACATCGATCTAATACATTCACTTCATGGTCGTTCCATATTATATTTTTACATGTATATAAAGCCCTTCCATTTAAAAGTTTAACCATAATTTATCTATTTGTTGTAGCATTCTCCAAACGCAACTCTCACTAAAGAGCCGTGCTGGGCTCTTTGTCTTTGTTCTGTTCAAACCCTCCCTTAAAAAAAGAAAAGAAGAGAAAGTCAGAAGGGATGGCATGGAAAAAAAAAAAACCCTAAAATAAATGTAATGCTACTTTGCTGTTTATAGCCATATCTGAAAAGAAAACTGACATTATCTAAAGCTGTAATTAAGATAAATAAGTTAATGACTAGATTCACTTAGATAAAAGCAAAGGCTGCCAAAGCTCCAGGGAAATGAGTATCATTGCATAAAAATGTCATATACCAGATATCAAGGAAATGAAACACCTGAAGAGATCTCCCTCCAAGTATTTTAAAGACACTCCTGATGCTCCTAACACTGAAGCCAACTGCAGCTGTTCATTTCAGCCACCCAAGACCAGGAGACACCCCAACCCATGGCCAATGTCATAGCAAGGCTCCCCAAACCAGTAAAGCGTTGACCAACCCGAGGAAGGATTAAATGCTCTCATGCTTCGGCATGAGCATCAGGTTTGCCCAGTCGTCATACTTGTATCTACAGATGACTGCCGCGTAGAGACAAATACAAAACCAGCGTTCAGTTTCAATAAGATGCCCATTATTCTAAAACATTCCCCACAAACAAGTGGTCCAGAAAGAGTAAACAAATCAATAGCAATAATAAGGTATTCATTGTGTTGAACCCTCAATGGCGAGCATAATGGTAAAGTACTGGACACTTTCATAAAGATTAAGCCTTCATACTTTCTTCTCCCTGCCCCCAGAAAGGCTTTTGAAACAGCAACTGAAGCCTAGAGCAGGCCAAAGTCTAGACTTGCTAACCCAGGACTTCCTCAGATCTTCTCTGAGTGTCTCATGCCACTAAGAATGAGCGGGAGGAGCAGATTCGGGCTGTCCCTGTGTACAGTAATGCCACTACTAACCTCATTCACATTGAGGGACGCTTACCAAGAACGTCAAAGTGACTTAAATACTAAAATCGTTGAAAAACACTTGGCAATCCCATATGCTGCCGGAACCAGGGAAGGCTGAGCCAATTCCTGCCCTTCCCTACCTGCTCCACTCCAAGAATACAGCACGCCAAACGTCAGGCTTTGCTCTGTCAACATCTCTGAAGAGCCTTTCATCTCCTAGTTATCATCGTTCTGTTCTTAAAAAAGCTGAGAATAGGCGAGACGATCTCTGCAGAAGTAGTCGCAAGCGTGGGATGCATGGGGAACCCAGCACAGAGCTTTGCATTTGCACTCATAAATTTACAGTGTAGAGGCATATTAAAATTACAAGCCTGAACAAACACACTGGAACAATAACACATCAGAGTACTGTAATTGGGCTCTGGAATATACTTAGTGAAAAATAGAGACCAGCTGCAATGTTGGAAAAGCTCCTAATGCAATCCAAGGTAATTATTGGTAACAGACCATCAAACAAGTGCATTAATATGCTCTGATCAGAGAGAGAATCAGATGGACAGTCTGGCACAGCAGCTTGTACCTGCAAATTATGTAAATGATTTGCAAGAGCAAAGGCCCAAAGCTCTAGAAACACTAACTCTAATGAAAGTTATTAAATGCTATTTTTGTTATCTGCTGGTGTTAACATTATAAGGCCCATTTGCTGAGGTGACTATAATTTTGCTGCTGAGCAGCGGTCCAAGCTGAATAAGCCTGATATTTGCCATTTTAAAGGACTGCCTCAAGCTGAAATGACTGGCTTAGATTTGCATGATTTCATGAACAACATTTAAACACCTAATTACTTTCTGCATTTTTTCCCACTGATGTTAGAGAGGAAACACAGTCATTTTGCTTTTGTTAGATGCAGAAGTTCCTGTTTTTATTTCGTGAAGCACATACACGTTTGATCTGCAAACATCACAGGAGAGTCTGAAACAAGCTCTCCTGTTACAATGTTATCTATTTTCGCACTTGAACTATTTAAATTTAGCATATTTTTAGGATATGCTTTCATCTCTTGATGCTTGAGAATATTAAAAAACAAGCAGTATGACACAAGTTTCAGT